CATTCGTTCCGAATAGCTTTTGCTTTACTATATATATAACTCGTGCGTTGTTTTATGAGCGGCCGTCGCTGTCGTCGTTAATTTGAACAGAAAAATACATAATCTATTTTCTCTATCGATCTTCACGTTCAGAAACAACAACGTGCACGAACGAATAACATCGAAATAAACTCGCTCTGATACTAGACGAGCAGTTTGGCAGGTAATTACTATTTCCCAAAATCATATTATGGTTTTTTAATAAGAAACCTTTTCTATCTAGAATGTTGAACACTCGAAATTAAACAGACCCGTTTATTTTGACATAATGTCAAATATCTCATTCGATAAAAAATAATTCAGATCTCTTGTGTTAAATTTGAAAAAGTTGAATCCATCATGGGGTGCACCTCAACTTGCAAATTTTCTTCAACAGTCGGAAAATCCTCCATCATTGCAAAGACGTCAACTTGTGACGAAGATCAGAAGAACATTAACAAGAAACACAATAGAAGATAAAAAGAGATCGGGACGTCCTGCCACAACATCTACATCCTCTTTTCAACAGAAAATCAAAACATCTTTGAGATTGAAAAAGGGTGCATCGATTAGAAATGTAACATCGAATTTGAACCGAAATGGAATAAAATGTTTCGAACGAACTGTGCACAGAACTGCTCGGCAGTTAAATTTGAAATGGTTCAAAACAAGAAAATCCCAGAAATTAACAGAGGATAATAAAACTAGAAGAGTAATTTGTGCTAAACAATTAAGAATGAAATTTGGAGTTGAAAAGAAAGCACACAAATGGAAATGGAACAGGCTAGTGAATACAGATTTTAGTGGTAAATTCACTTTGCTACCATTTCAAAACAAAAGGAATGATGATATTTGGGCGGAGGAAGGTGAAGTTGTACCACCAGTTTTAATTAATGCACCAACGGATAAATTCAAAAAAGGAATTATTTTTTGGGGTGGAATTTCTTCACATGGACTTATACCTGCTCGTGCACCAATTAATTTTACAGAATGGCTACATCAACAACCACCACAAAAGAAAAGGAAATATTTAACAGGTGATTTATATGCGAAGTTTGTTACCGAAAAAGCCGCACCAGCAATCAAACGAGTGTTCAGAAGTACTGGTGTTATACCAATCTTCCGGGACGATCAGGACAGCAAGCATAGAACGGCGATTGTGATGGATACTATTAATTCTTTATTTGGCGAACGTGTTGATCCCGAAATAGGTGATTCAAAATTAGCTGATGTTTGGGTGATAGAAAATGTATGGGGTGCGATTAAAGAAAGATTGAGAGGGCAACAATTTAATGACGCATCAGAATTGGAAAATCAAGTAGCCCAACAGTGGAGAATATTTACTGTCGAAAAATGTAGGCAAAGGATGAAAGAAATACCTGATCGACTGAAGCGAGTGATAGATCAAGATGGGAAACAAATACACAATCATTCATAAATGTTTTTTATTAATTATTTAAAAGAGTTTTCGATTTGTAGATCTATCTTCGAGTACTATTTTCATGTAATTTTGTAATCCAGTATTAAAAGCATCTCCAGTTATTCTCGAAAATACTTCGATTTTTTTCTCTTATTTTACCATGCTCGTATCACGATAATAATATGTGATAGAGAGCTGAAATTTTCGCATATAATAGACCTAGACAACTAATTAGTAACTATACTGTAAATATCATCGTCTTCGGTGTAGAAAACATGTAAAAAAAATACATTACATGAGGGAATCAGAACTTACGCCACACCCTTTATGCGTCACTTTTCTCTAATTCAAGGGACTTTTGTCTTTGCTATTAATGACTACTATGTTTTAGTGAACAAACATTTGTATTTCTTAGCAGACTTTTGTGACACTTTACTATTCAGATATAAGTCATTTTTCTTTAGTTCAAAGGACTGTTGTCTTTTTGTATTCATGACTGTCATGTTTTAGTCAATCGACTTTTCTATTTCTTAGCGGACTTTTGTAGTACTTTACTATTCACATCGTTCTCTTTTCTCTAATTCGAGGAATATTTGTCTGTTTGACAGGCTATGCTTTATTTCGTAAGCAGCGTTAGAGTAGGTTAATGTTACTGGGTTCACATGAGTCACCGTTTTTAAAGGAACTATGCAAAATTATGTTTAGGCCATTAAAAGTGTTTCAAGGCTAAATGGTTAAGCAAATAAAAGAAAAGAAAACGAAAGAAATTTTTTCTTCGAAGAAATGTTCGTTGAAGAACCGAATATCTGCTAACATATTAGATAAAAGAAAAATATTTGCAAATATCTTATTTATAATTAGTCATTTTATTTTTTCATGTATTTATAATTAAATAGATAAAATAAAAAGAGAAAAATACGACTATATATTTCTGGAAAAGTCCGCTGAATAAAGTGCTATCCAAAAATGCATTAGATATACCAAGAAAATAAACCGTCATCTTATTCACATTAGTTCTTTGAATTTTACAACTGCATGTTTAAAAAGATACAAGAAAGAAAGAAAAACACTAATAGCTACACAAAAGTCCGATAAAATAACCAACTATCGGTGTCACATTTGACGAAAAAAATATATTCT